TTGTAGTTTGTTGTTTTTTTGGTGGGCTGAATTATATAAAAGAAAAATTTTAATTTTTTCAATTTTTTAATTTTTTATATTTGTCTAGTTGAGGTACCATGTAAATATTTAATTTTTTTAAAAAAAAAAACTTTAAAAAAGATCACAAAATACAAAAAATAAACAATAAAAAAATCACTCAAAAACCTATATCCAAACAACACCTACAAATTTGGAGGGAAAGTTAGTTGAAATTTGCTAAAATAACATGTGACCATTGAAGCACCATTGCTATAATTTGACAAAATAGCATTATTCATTGCCAAATTATAGCAATGACAATAATATTTTAGCAAACACCATTAGAGATGCTCTTAACATATATAAATATAGATAAAAAAATAAGTATTTTCATATAATATATAAATATATTGCAAAAAATAAACTACTAAATCATATAACTAATGACCAAATTGGTGAATAAGGTATATATAAATTCAATCAAATTAGGTTTATGGGTAGTAATTTAATTTCTTGTAGCAAAAGGAGTATGGCAGTAAGTTTTTCTTGCGATTTTATTTGAATTTGGATCTCCTTTGTATAAGATTTTTTGATAATATAGTTCATGACTTTCAATGAGGGTTAGCTATGGGTGATTGATGGTGAGAAAAGTAGCTGATGGGGCCAAAGGTGAAGAAGAATGTAAAAATTAATTAATCATGCGATACGAATACGATATAGAAATGTATCTCACGATTCGAGTCACCAACAATATGAATCCGCAATACGTATCTTTTTCCTTACTATACGATATGTATCGTATGATACGTATTGCGTATCGTACGATTTTGACAACTCTGGTCACAATCCTCTGTTTTAACAAGTTCAAGTCTTTGTAAAGACTAGCAAGAACAGCCGGGGCGAGCGTGATTTTAAAAACTTAAGTTTGAAGAAAAGTAGTGGAAAATAAATGTTTGCCAACAGTATCAAATGGACGTGCTGGGAGGACAAACCTTGACAACCACATGGCAAGAAAAGCTTCGTGCTCGATTTCACTGCCTGTTTGTATGAATTTTTTGGTCCAACCAGGTTGTGAAGCTTTTTGTATGAAGTTCTTCTGAGTTCTAATCGAACTTTGAGCAATCTTTTTCTGATTTCCTCCAATTCTTTGGATTTAACAGGACTCAAAACAAAGTTACCCAAAACAGAAAACCCCCCTAAAACGATCATATCTTCAAGAGTGATAGTTGATTCCCCGAAAGGAAGCACAAAAGTATTCTGAATAAATACTCTGTCCTCAAATGCTGTGCAACACAAAATGACACTGGTTTGATTCCATGGATGTCCAAAGTGTGTACCAAACAAGAAAATCTGTTTCAGAACATTACGAGTCCTAGCTTACCAACCTGATAGTTTTAGAAGTACTAGTTGCGGTGCACGTGCGATGCACGTGGATTTTTTTCCCTCCCTAATGTTTCTAGTTATTCTTCAGTTTTTACTTAATCACCTTTTCTATATATATTTACCTTTAATATACAATTTTTTTTTAAAATCTGAAAGTCATCTATTTCAGCCAAAATCAAACAAGATACTCCTTAATCTATGTATGATAACTATCTATCACCAACAATCATAGGTCAAACCTAAAATTTATGGATCAATTGTTTGATTTCATCTTTAAACAAATGAAATTTCTAATTCCTAATGTAGCAAAACTCCAAATGTTTGGTTCTTGAGAAAATGTAAAAATATAGCGTCTCTTGCAAGATTTGACAACTACGAACAACACAATCCATATGTGTAACATTCAACTTGTTTATTAGTAATTCTCTTCGTTAGTACAGTAACATTCAACATTATAGTCTATGAAAATTATGAATCTAGAAATAAAAATGGAAAAGTAGACCTTGCATTCACAGCCTAGACTAAAAAAAAATGCATGTCATTACCTTCCCTTCAACATGAATGCCCATCAAATGTAGCTTTGCCCACATTCCAAAACCCAATCTCTTCTTTAGCTTCGCAGCAAGTATGACATTCATATAGTATGCAGTTTGAAAATTCATTCCCAAATCCAAAACCTACATTTAATGAATTTCAAAATGCTTTTGGCTAAGAAACAAATTATGACCAGAAATAAATCCACAATGACTAAAACAAGATTACATACCAAGTGGTCATCATCAACATCATCAGTGGTTTGATGGAGAATCCTCATTTCTGTGAACATAGGAGGCAATCATCCCATATACAGATGAACCACAACTTCTTTCTGTGCGTATACCAAAATAATTCTCAGTTTGACAATCAAAACTAATCAACGCATTAAAATGATTTTAAAACAGATTTTTCATAGATCAAATTCATCCAAAATGATGTGATAATGCCGTTTTTTAAATTATAATCCCTAACAGTGGGTGTTTTAGTTTGAAATTGAAAACACCACAAAAACCCAAATCATTTGTATGTGAATTTTGAAAAACAATCTGTTTGTATAGATAAGGGTACAAGGCACTTTAAACAAAAGAGATGCAACTCATACCACAGTCTATGGTGTGTACTTCTACAAGAACCAAGGAATGACTGGGAGGAGAATTTTCTATGGAACAATGGACTCCATACAAACAGGTCAAATCTTTTTAAACCGCTGCATAGTTTCCGAATCAGAGAGTACCTTTAGAAAAAGCAAAAAAGGAAATTAAACATTTATACATATTCATACTGGCAAGATGATGATGATTGATTGATGAAACATAAACATTTACCAAAAGATAAGATGAGGATTGATGAGGTTTCCTTAAGATGGTTTGGAATATGATATTTCATCTTGTTCTGTATTTTTTATTATGAATTTTACCACAATGAACACAATGGCTCTATTTGTAAAATATAATTTGACCAATGATGATACTCGACTTTGTAAAAAAATACCTGTAAAAGAAGCAGTTATTGTCCCTTCTTGTTTTCTCTTTGTGGTTTGTTTTCCTGTCTATTTTTTGCTTTAAACAGTGCAGCCATTTTTCTGCATTTAGTTGTTTCAAATGTGACCAGGCGTTGTCCTGACTTTTTAAATTAAAAACAGAGTCGCACCATTTTTCAGCGATCAGTTGTTTCAAATGCGACAAAGATCGTTCAATCGTTATGGTATGACCAACACGAATAGACGGCCTTCGTGATAAATTTCCTTGTTTCAAAGATCGTTCAATTGTTACAAATGTGACCAACACAAACAAACGGGCTTCGTGATAAATTTCCTTGTTTCAAAGATCGTTCAATCGTTACAAATGTGACCAACATGAACGGGCTTCGTGATAAACAATTTCCTTGTTTCAAACATCGTTCAATTGTTACAAATGGGACCAACATGATCGGGCTTCGTGATAAATTTCCTTGTTTGAAAGATCGTTCAATCGTTACAAATATCAACACCAACGAATGGCTTTCGTGATAAATATCTTATTTTTAGTTTGCAATGCTATCAGCGCAGCAACCAAAGAACCAACCTAAACCACTGAACATGTTTGTTTTTTTTTAAAACAAACAAACATCAACAACCTATAGGCTGTTCAGGTTTTTTTAGAGTAATGTTTGTGTTCAGTGCAAGCAGCATTTTGTATTTGTTTAGTGGCTACAACGGCAGCTTGTGCTTGTCCACTCTGAGCAACGGTTCGTAATGGTTCTGCCTCTACCCTGCTTTTTCATTTGAAGCAGCGTGGCAATAGATTTGAGTTACAAAGGAGGTTATTTTGGGAATGGAAGAAAAGTAGAAAACAATCAAGGGCGTTCAGATTTTTTTAGTAGCAGTAGATTACGAAATGTGGTTGTTGGATATTATTTCATGCAATATTTGGTTTGTACTTAATTGGTTATTCACAAAAATGAATATTGTCATTAACTATATTTTACTTGTTTTTGGCCATGAAATTGGATCTAAATGTGATTTTTATCGTGGTCTTTCACAAAGAACAACTCTATTGAGGTTGAGAAGAAAAGAGTGATGGGTACATACGTCTTGGTTTGAAAGCCAAAAACTACAGAAATTCTCATGTTGGTTCAGTAATTGACAACTTATACAGTCATGAAATTGCTATTTAACTATTCCATGTGATAATGCTAAACAAATATACAAATCCCACAAATTATTCTCACCAACAGATGTCGCAGTTGAGTTGCTTTTTTCTGTGATTCTAGTTTTAAACACCGAAGTTTATTGTTGCACGCACATCTGCAAGTGGTTTGTGAAGGCACTAAATGAGAGTAGAATGCAAAAATGATGCTAACCTATACTTATCCCAATTTTCTTTTTGGTTAAACCACTATTTTTCTAGGGAGATTAGTTCACTATCCAATTAATTAATTTATTTCTTATTGGCCAAAATATAGCACGGCGACTGAGGATTTGATTTCTCTTTTAGTGTATAATTTTATGTTAGATAGGAGCCTTACGCATCAAAAAAATAAAAAAGGGAAAAAAAAAAAAAAAAAAAAAAAAAAGAAGAAGAAAGAAAGAAAAGAAAGAAAGTGTGAAACAATACATGGTGCTAATGGATAATTTATTGATTTGGAAGTTAGAAATACATAAGGGATAGAAGGATACTTGTCCTTGTGTACAGAGATAAACAAGATGAAAATTTACAGCTATACAAATGCAGATGCCTTAACGAATGGAAGAAGACAAACCCACCAAACAAGGTGATAATAATATTTTCGAAATGGGTTCTGGGCTCTCATTTAGAATTAGAACTGTCAGGATGTGTTTTCAGACACCAATTTGTTATTGTGTTTTCTATCTAATAAAATATATTATATGAGCATGTTTCAGTAACCCCCACCCCTCTCACCCCATGACTGCACACACATGCATACAAAACAAGGAATGTGGTTTCTCCATCCTTGTTCATCCTAGCTATTGTATGTGACCTCAATACTTTTGACTTTCTTTTTTATGAGGATTAATTAAGATTGCTTTTCCATTGAATTATTGTCTATTCATATTTCTATTTTATTTCATTGATTTGCAGATTTGTCCATTATTGCTTCGAGTTTTCACAAAGGTATGTGCTCGTTTTCAAATGTGTAATGTTCTTGCTTATGCATCTTAATGTTTTTTTTCAAAAAAAAAGATATATTAGAGAAGGCATCAAAAGGGATTTTGCCCGTATTCAATATCACAAAACACAAAAGCTAAAATGGCTATTCCACTCCTTAGTTTCCAAGAAAAGCTTGAAATCCAAAAATCAATCAAGATGGTTGGTGGGATTTGTAATCTGATGGATCTTGCATTTTGTTTCTTCTTGTCTCCCTGTTTTCTCGTCCTTTGTTTGATTGCGCAGATGATTCGGGCCATGATGTATAACCAAACATTATATCACCAGAATGGAAAAATTGATTGAAAAATCAATTAAGATGGTTGGTGGGATTTGTAATCTCATGGATCTTGTATGTTTTTTTTTCTTGCCCCCCCTGTTTGCTTGTCCTTTGTTTGATTTCCCCATGGTGTTTGTTATTCCCACCATGGGATAAAATCCCCCCTCCATCCAACCGCTAGAAATAATCATCCTTCTCTTATCCCTTGCTTAAGCTTGTCTTATTACAAGTGCTTCGATAGTATATATGATCTCATTCGTTATTCTAGGTTATACTACTTTTATTTTTTGATCAGCTATTCTAGACATTACTACTTCCACCCATAATCCCTATGCATTAGTTATCCGCTTATTCCAATCCCTTCAACTAAGGCTTATTTTGGCAATTGGCTAAAATAGTCAAAAAGCCACTACAAAAAAAAAAAATTTAACTCTTCTCTTTACTCTTCTGCACGTCTTTTTTGTAAAAAAACCAAAAAACCAACTAAAATAGTTAATTCCCAAAGCAACCCTAAATGGGGCATTTAACCTTGTGGTGGGGGGAATCACTTAAGTTGTATTGGGTTGTCAAAATTGTACTCACTTATTTTGATATGTTTATGCTACTTTAGCTCTTTTGATGCTTCTACCTGTTTTGTAAATCACCAAATGGAAAGGATGCTACTTTTGGAAAAGCCTTAGGGTTGTACTTTGGACACTAGATTGATGTATATGAGGACTAACATGACAAGTTCTTTAAGCCTTGTGAATAGAATGGTTAATGGCATGGTGGTTTCTGATGGCTACAAGAATTTTCTACAATAAATTTTATCAAGGTAAACATTAAAAAAAAACTTTACACATGATACAAAAGAAACCATATTTATTAATATCTATCATGTGTTTCCAATAAATCTACTAATCTAAACTTTTCAAATCTCAAACAAAAGAGAATTTTAATGTAATGATATTATAATTTCAACAAAAAATATGTATATATATGAACTTTACAATTTTCCTCGACAAGTTTTCATATTTTGAAATCATTGTATAATAATTTCGTTATCAATACTATCATCCAATGCAAGTCTTTCCTGTGTTTGGTTTGGTGCAAGTATTTTGTGTGTGTCAGACTTGCACCCAAAAGGTTCTCATGTGTAGTGCAATTTTTTTAAGACGGTCTCACTGATATGCAAATGTTCCCTTCTTTTTTTTTTTCCTGCTGGTCTGAGGACTTGTACTACGATATTTTTGTATATCAAAAAATGGGGGACTTGAACGAAGATGTCCTAACTGGGGAGTACTTTTTGGATATGTCAAAAGACTCAAAACCTTTATACCCATTCGTTTAAGTTAGCTTCAATTTATTGTAGTCTATTGCTGTTTTGGTTCTACTGTCTTTGAAATTTGATTGGAGATGTTAGGTTTGCACCTATTGGAATGCCAGACAGTAATTTAATTTCCACTTCCATTGCATCAGGCTTGTTGGAGTTGTCTTCTTTTTGATCTGGTGTTTCTTAGTTCTTTTGGTCTTCAACTGTTGTACAGTATGGTTTGTGCAAATTTTTATGTAAACTAGGAAGTGATGCATCAATTGAGGGTTTGCTTAATATGTTCATTTTTGTAACAGCTTCCTATCAATCATTGTCATGCCATCTACTCCATTTTAACTTCTGGAAATTTACTATAGGTCAATTTTTTACTTTATTTTTTTTTTTTGAAAAAGAAAGTTCTGTCATCTTGCCTCTACGTTTATGTTGGTCATTGGTTTTTCTTGCATTATTTTCAAAAACCTCTTTGTCAAAATTGTTCTTCTCATTGGTTTTGTTAGCATTCTCTCCAATCTTGTGTGCCTTGAATTTCCTACAGATTGGAGGTCATCATTCTGATGCAGACTTTGCAGTGAGAGGCAAGGAGCCAAAAGATGAGGTCCAAATTTATACATGGAAGGATGCTACTCTCCGTGAGTTAACTGATCTGGTATGTTGAAATGATGTATTCCTCCTCCATTGCTCCTCTTTTTTTTTTCTTGCTTTCTGCGCTTGCATGTGCATAGTTTGGGGATGTTGTCAGAAGAGGATTTCAATGTTATAAGTGTCTTTCTGCACAAAACAATGTCTTTCTAGTACTCAAACCAATTGTGCGTCTTTTCCAGGTTAAAGAGGTAGCTCCAGAGGCAAGAAGAAGAGATGCAGTGCTGTCCTTTGCATTCGTATATCCTGATAAACATGGGCGTTTTGTGGTTAAAGAGGTTTCTCTCTCTCTCTCTCTCTCTCTCTCTCTCTCTCTCTTTTCAGGAGGGTTGTGGGGTTCATGCAGCAATATGTGCATCCATGTCTGCACTATTTTGTTTATATAAAGATGGCTTTTGAGTTTTTTTGTTTTTGTTTTTGTTTTTGTTTTTGGTAGATTAGTTGTTCCATGTATTTCTAACAAAATAAATTGGTCCTTCAACACATTTCTATCCAAACAAATTGGTTGCTCCCCACATTTAAGTATGCATAAGATTTTTTGTCCTATACGCTGTTGCTCAGGTCAATTCCGTCACATTCAACCATAATTATTGGTAATAAATTTCTCAACCGTCTTCGCAAGAAATTCCTAAATTTGAGTTGACTAGATTACCTAGTGCCTTCTTCATTTAGTGCATGTAACCATGTTGTGTTGCGTATTTTTTTAGTTTAGTTTGAGAGGATGACTTGAAGTATTGATCACTATAAAAATCCTTTAGTTCGTGAGTTGTATGGAAAAATACTCATTGACATGGATGCACAAATATATATCTATATATATAGTGTAATAAGTGGATTCGGATCACAACTATGTTTCTAAATGACTAGTTTGGTCTGTGCTGATTGAGGGATCATGCTAAATTTCACACTTCACCATTAGGCATTTATTATATTCTTGCATGCATTCACACTCCATCATTAGAAAATGCAAAAAGCAAACCTTAATGAAGTTCTGATTGTTGAATATTCTTTCTATGGTCTCGTGAAGGTGGGGAGAACCTACTCGTATCCTAATGGGAGACGACCTGACAGTGGCGGCAAGGCATTGGGTGAACTTAGCTTCCAGGTAAACCAACATCCTCTTGTCGCCTGCATAAATTCGAACCTCACGAATTTGATCCTGACTTGCAATTGATGTATTTGCAGATCGGAGATTACTTGGATGTGGCAATCCTGTAGCAAAACTCTGTTGTGTTCAGTGTTCTGTATTTACTGTAATGTTTTTAGATTCTCAAAGGTTTTCTTGCTCATGTTATCCAATTTTGATTGAACTGATGATGCCTTTTATGCCGAGATAATATTTGTCAAGCGATTCTACTATGTTACATTGCTTCTGATGCAGGGTTGTGTAATGATCTTAGTTGGGGAAAAAACTTAAAGCTTTGTGAGGCTGCTGTTATCTCTTTTTTATTTTTAGAAATCTCTAAGCTATGTTTAGATCTTGGGTTTGTGAATGAAAACGAAAACGGCAAATTACATGCATAGTCATTGTAATTTGTTTGTTGCGTCATTTTGGTTCTTATAATTTGAATTGATCATTAAGTAGATCAAAATTGTTAAGGTTAAAGTAAAGTATTAGAAGGTAAAATGTGATCAAATTGATATAAATGGAAAATTTTAGCGTCTATTGTTGTATATTGTACAAATAAAATCTTGTGAATGGATAAAAGAGTAAAAATATAATTTTCACTAATAAACTTTTGTTTACATCTTACTTTTATTTCATTACATTAGCTTTTGACTTTACTCTCTACACTTTTTAATATTTCAAATCTATCCCTATTTGTAATCTCCCACCTTCTCTCTACCCTCAATAGCTTCCTATGTTTTCCAAATGTAGGGTTTTTGGGTGGTTTATAAGATTTCAAAGGTTTCAGAGTTGGCAACTAGAATTGCAAAAGATGATTGATAATTTAAATTTTGATAGATGACATGAGAGGAAGGGATTAAGAGAGGTTATGGGGGGTAATTATGGTGTCAAGGAAAGGGATGCATAGCAATGAATGAGGGTGGCAAGATGGAGTGATATGGATTGGAGTTGCAGAGATGGCTTCGAGTAAGTGGCAGTGGAAACGGCAAATGAGTAAAAAAAAAAAAAAATTGATTTTAAAATTTATAGAACTTTTATCCTTAATAGTAAATTGATTTAAAGATAAAATCGCAATAATTTCTTTTAAATAACAAATATAACGGGATAAATACGGTATGTAAATGGAGGCTTCCTTCTTGCAACTTAGGCCTTGTTAGCTTTTTGGGTAATTTAGTAACTTTTGGACTAAAATGGAGGGTTCCCAAATGAGGCCTTAATGTAGTTTCGCAAGTGTAAACTTGAAGATCAAAGGAGGGATACACGCATTTATTAAATATTTTGGAAAGATAATGTTTTGTTTCAGTTTTTAAAAATAGTTTTTTGAATTTTCAATTTGTATTTTCATATTTGTAATATTTTTTTCTAATTAATTTTTAAAAAATTTTAGATTTACTTAATCTTAATATACTTAAAAAGTAAAAAATTTATTGAATACAACAAAATACGAAAATGTATTGAATTTATATATATATATATATATATATTTTTTTTTGTCTATTTGGTGAATTTTTAATTTTTTGTTTACAAATATTATACTTTTTAAATGTATTTTTTAAAAAAAAAAATTTACTTAAAATATTAAAAATAAAAATTATAATCAATTTTTTAGAACCAAACATGGTAATATAATTATTTCATGAGTAGTAATACATGTATTTTTTTCTATTATCTACCAAGAGTATTATTAGATTCTCATTTTAAAATCAAAATATCATAACAATAATTTTTATTTTTAAAATTTCATTGTCACATTATTTTAATTTAATTTTTTTATTTCATAAACTTTGTGCTTGTTTTTATTTATTGATTTATTAATTTTCTTGTTTTGTCGACGACAAAATGTCATTTGCAATCTGTTTGACAAAAACCACTGGGGGTGGTGGCCTAGTGGAGAAAGCAGCTCGTCTCCACAGGCTTGACCCAGAGTCGATTCCTGGGGGAGTGTGGAAGTGTTCTCTTTGAAACCCCCCCTCTGTACTATGGTTCAAACCTTCGGCGGTATGTGGCGTATAGTTGAGCTCCCCTGATGCTCCGGTGGTGGGTCCCTCATATGGTGGGGGTTAATTCCTGACTGGTAACCGGTTACCCCGGGAGAGTGTGGAAGTGTTCTCTTTGAGACCCCCCTCTGTACTCCGGTTCGAACCCTTCCTCGGCGGTCTGTAGCGTATAGTTGAGCTCCCCTGGTGCCCTGGTGGTGGGTCCCTCACATGGTGGGGGTTAATTTATGACTGGCAACCGATTATCCCAGGATCAAGGCCCACGGGACCGTGATGACACCTCAAAACCTTTTTCTTCCGATAAAAAAAAATAATAATAAAATAAAATAAAATCTGTTCGACAAAGAAAAGCGTGGCAAATCACTAAAAGTCGAAATCAGAGAATGTAATCGGAGGGGGCATTTCCCAAACTAAGCCTCTTTTGCATCCTATTTCCCAAACTAGGCCTAGTTTGGACGGATTTCCCAAACTAAGCTAAAGCGCTATTACAAATCGCACTTTCACTGTTTGGAGTCCAAAATTTGATGAATAGTAAAAGTGCTATTCGAAATTGCGATTTTAATTAAGAAAACGCTATTTAAAATCGCGCTTTTAACAAAAAAAAATTTTCTAAAAAAACGTGGTTACAAATTTTTTTTTTTCCAAAAAACGCGATTACAAATCGCGCTTCTACTATTCAAATGCAAAATCGCGTTTCCAAATGGCGTTTTCAAATCACACCAAACCAACGCACACACTCTGACACACACACCCCCCACAGCACTCACGCACACTCTGACACACACCCCCCATCACACAATATAATTGAAAAATATAATTTTTATATATAATAATAATTAAATATATATAATAATAAATAATAATCAATTATATAATTTTTATATTTTTGTAAATATAAATTATTTCTATCTTTCGAGTGGTTAGAAATAATTTTTTACAAATTAAATTAAAATAACCATACGTATGTATATAACCTGCCCAAAAATTAAAATGATAATTATTTTTTACCCTTAAATGATAATTATTTTTTATTTTTTATTTCTTAACCAAATCAATTTTTAATTTTTTAAAAAAAAAATTCTAAAAATCAAACCATACATAGCCTAAGAATCTTTTGATAAATCATTTCTTATATTGGTAACTTATTTAATTATTTGTTAATTTTGTGACATTTTTACCATCTGAGGCCTGTTTGGTAACCATTTTGTTTTCAATTTTCAATTTATATTTACAAAAATTAAAAAAAAATGTCATAAAAATTTGTTTGATAATTTTTTTGGTTTATAAATAGTTGTCTTAGTTTGTAAATTTGAGAAAAAATGTAAATTTAAAAAAAGAGTTTACGCTGGTGTCACGACCCAAACCCGCCCCTATGGGTTTAGCACCGTCAATTTAATTTGTAAAAAATTATTTCTAACCACTCAAAAGATAAAAATTATATAAAAATAATTTATATTTACAAAAATTATATAGTTAATTATTATTTACTATTATAAATTATTATTATATATAAAAATTATATTTTGCAATTATATTGTGTGATGGCGTGTGTGTGTTAGAGTGTGCGTGAGTGCTATGGGGGGTGTGTGTCAGAGTATGTGGGTTGGTTTGGTGTGATTTGAAAACGTCATTTGAAAACGCGATTTTGCATTTGAACAGTAGAAGTGCGATTTGTAATCACGTTTTTTGGAAAAAAAAATTTTGTAACCACGTTTTTTTCAGAAAAAAAATTTATGTTAAACCGTGATTTCAAATAGGGCTTTCTTAATTAAAATCGTGATTTCGAATAATGCTTTCAGTCTTCATCAAATTTTAGACTCTAAACAGTAAAAACACAATTTGTAATAATGCTTTAGCTTAATTTAAAAAATCCATCCAAATTAGACTTAATTTAAAAAATAAGATGCAAAAAGGCTTAGTTTGGGAAAAGCTCATAATCGGAGAGCAACCAACTTTTAAAACCGAAAAACGAGACTCCAAATCCGAAATTTCAGATCGCTGTTCGTCACTCTCTCTATCTCTCTCTATCTCCTAGGGCACCCAATTCACACACATTGGCTCCTTTCCTCTGAGATTCTTCGTTCGTCACTGAAATCACACACTACATTTCTCTGCTTCGCAATTTCTCATGCTCGCTAATGGATTTCAACACATAATTTTTTGAAGTTTTTCCTTCGATTTCCCTCGTAATTCCCTATCTCTTTCCTTGTATTTATCTGTATATAATAATGTAATTTCCTATACTAATCTATATGGTTCTTTAATTCTCAGGGTTTTGAGAGACAGATAATGGCAATCAAGAGGGGATTATCAGGTGCGGGCATTCACAGGAACAGAGGCGGTGGATCTCGCTTCCCAATTGCCATTCTCGTCTTCTTTTCGCTGCTCGCGCCCTTGATTTTCTTTGTCGGACGAGGACTCTATACTTCGACTTCAATTGGTCGGTGTACTATGTACCATATTCTCTTTCATTTCCTCAGATCTCACCCTGGGAATATTGTAATTTCGTTTAATCCCATTATTGGGACACCCAATTCTGTTAATTTGGTTGATTGAGTTTAGAGCATGAGCTTTTTATTTTTTTATTTTTTATGGTGAGTTGGTTTAACGCGTTTTTTTCTTTGCAGAATTTCTTAGAATCAATCATGGGTATGACAAAATTTTCTACCTTTTTAATAAGAGAATGGATTATTCTACTTACATCACTATTTAACCTCGTTATACCCTTCATCTCATTACACCACTAAAAAAAATAAAATGTAATTCTCATTACACCCCCAATATATTACCAAAACTAACCCTAAATTAACTATTTCATCTCTTTACACCACTAATTTTGGTAACACGGTGCTAAACAATTTATATTATTCCGGTATTATATTGCCGGAAAAAATAGATTTCTCCAGCATTTTGTTGCTATACATTTCCAGAGACACTTTCTTCCAAATAATGTTTTTTTAATTTATGATGGGCCTGTTCGGTAATACAACACTAATTAATTTGAATTACTCCAATGTCATGTTACCGGACAATATTATTTTTCCCAGCGTTATGTTGCCGTCCAATTAGATGATAATAAAAAGTTAATTTGGGTCACTTGTGAAGTGCATGTTCAATGATTCATTGTTATATAAATAGGATTACTCTAGTGTCATGTTGCCAAATTACAATAGAGTTGTCTAGGCCCCGTCGCTGTACATTAAAAGATTTACTTTTTTCTTGAAGCATCCATAAAAAAATTCATAAATCAAATAAACATTCATAAAATCATACATAAAAAGCATCTATAAAATTATTCATAAAAACATCAAGTGTATGAATATCCATAAAGTATCCATAAAATCTATCATTGTTTGCATCCATTAATCAAACATGTTATCACAATTCGTCTTGGTAATTTGTATGTAATTTTTTCCCCTTTAA